CTGCAGAGTGAGACCGCCTCACACAATACAAATGAAAAGTGGAGAGGCTGCGTGGGGGAAGCCGTGAAGCTGCGGCGTAAACGCTTCCCGGCCCTGTTCTGGGGGGAGAGCGCCTCCGCTGCCAGCTGTAGATCCATCGTCTTCCGGAGGATGCCGCCGACTCAGCACTCGGAGGCCGCCGGCCGCCCACCGCCTCCGCCGGCCCTGCTCCCTGCTGTCTGCCTCGCAGCTGTCCACCTGCCCCTCCTCCCAGACTGGGTGACGCACACAGCACCCGAGCGTGACCCAAGGGGCCAGGGAGGACCCGAGCTCTGAGCTCTCCTGCCGGCCTCGCAGGCACAGGGTGGGCCTGGGGCCCTCTGCCCTGACTGCCCTGCGTTCAGGAAGGGGACAGGAAGGTCCTCGGGATGCAGTGAGGAGCCCGGCGGGGTGGCGCAGGCCTATACTTGGCGCTCTCGGGAGGCTGAGGCAGGAGAATCACTGGGTGTTCAGGCCAGCCTGAATTACACAGACAGTGTCTCAGAAAACCGAGCAGGCGCCGAGGGAGCCCTGGCCCTGGGACGGCCGCTCACTGTCCCCGGCCCCTGCCGTCCCGCCTCGCTGCTCCAAGCCCACAGCGCGCTCCCGCCTCCCTCGGCTCAGGCGGGGTCTGCGGCGAGCAGCCGCCCCCTTGTCAGCGGCTCAGCTGGCACGGCCCGTCCGGGACGACCCCGCCGCGCTGGACTGTGCGCGGCTCACGGCCGTGTTCTCGCGCGCAGTGGACCCAGGCTCCAGGCAGCCCCCCACCCTGCAGCCTCAGCCTCCGCTCCCGGCTCGCAGCCGCTTCCCCAGGGTGGGAGCCGGGCCGGGGGCCGCTCGGTGGGCAGACACTGGCCTCGCACGCACAAGGCCCTGGGGCGGGTCCTCAGCACCCAGAAAATAAATCCACAGCAAGAACAGCGATGAGGAAGCCTCAGCCCCCGGGCGAGGGAACTGCGCTCCCGGGGTGGGTCTCAAGAGCCCCAAAGCTGCTCGCTGGCCGTAAACTCCCTACGGAGCCCAGGCTGGCCTCGAACTCCTGGCAGTCCTCCTGCCTCAGCCTCCCTAGAGCTGGGAAGACAGATATGCGCCACCGAGCTGGGGCTAGAGGACACCTTCTAAGGGACGAGGTCACCTGAGCCACAAGACGGCCGCGGCGCCCCCTCCCTGCTGCCGGCCCGTCCTTGCTCTTCCCTTCCCAGGTGCGCAGGTGTCATGTGACGTCGCCCCGCACCCCCGGGCCACACGCCGGCGGAGGCGGCTCTCCCCGAAGGGCGCTCCCGGGCCGCGTCCTCAGCGTCACCCCGGGGCGCGGGACGACAGGAAGTCATTCCATGGGCGCTGCGCTGCTGTCCGGGGCCTGCAGAGCGCGCTCCTTCCGGCCGCCCGCCGGGGGCTCCCAGCGCAGCAGTCTCTGCGCTCCAGGGCCCAGGTGGGGGTGCGAGCGGGGGCCCAGGGAGCCCTGTGTGTGCGTGCGTGCGCGCACGTGTGTGTGGTGCTGGGGAGAGCGCCCAGGGCCCTCGCAGAGGTGCAGAGCTACACGCACAATCCTTTTTTTTTTTTTAATTTAGGGCCAGGGTCCTGCCAAGTTGCTAAACTGCCCAAGCTGGGCCTGAACTTGCAAATGTTCCTGCCTCAGCCTCCCAAGTGCTGGGATCGCGCGCGGCTCACCGACCCTGGCTGCTCTGTAAGGGCAGCTGAAAGATGCCTTCCCGGGGTGCTCACCGTCTCCGCCCTTCCCGGGCCACGCCCCGGCCACTTTCGCAACGCCGAGCCCGCTTTCTGCAAGGCCCTCAGGTCTGTGGGTCTAAGTTGACCGAGCGCGCTGGGAGGGGTGAGTGAGTCCCTCATGACCGCCCGGTGCCTGGGGGGGCAGATGTTGAAAGGACAGGTGGGGGTTCAGGAATGGAGGCGCCCAGAGACAGCGGCCTCTTTCACAATCTGGCCTGGGGCGGGCCCCGTGACTCCGCGCCGGCGACAGCGTCCCCAGAATTCCACGCCCTCCCCAGCTGGGACCGGGCCCTGGGCTTCGCGCTCCGGCCCTGCCCCAAGTCATCTCAGACACTGCAGCGTCCCGGTTCTGTGGCTTTCAAAGCCGGGGGCTGGGGAGCCCGCAGGGGTCTATGCGTGGCTCCATTTTAGAGCTCGGGTAGGGAGAACCCGTGGGGGTCACTTTCTTTGGTGTTTTTTGTTTTGTTTTCAAACTATCATAAAATATGGAAACAAAACTAGAACAGCATAACACTCATTTCTTTTGCAGTTAGAAATCCAGCCAGGTGTGGTGGTGCACACCTGTAATCCCAGCACTTGGGAGGCTGAGGCAGGAGGATAATTGCAAGTTTGAGACCAGCCTGGGCTATGAAATAAGCTCAAGGCCAGCCTGAACTGCATAGTGAGACCCTGTCTCAAAAAGACCGGAAAAAAAAAAAAAAAAAGAAATCCATGTGGGAAAAAAAACT